ATTAGATACAAGAGAGCTAGGAAAAAGTTTCTTCCTAAGTATTTTGGACCTTTCATAGTTGAGAAGGTGTGGGGAAATTTCACTTATGACATCAAGGAGTTAGGAGGACGTCACTTCGATCGAGTCAACCACGACAAGTTGAAGTTATTCCATCGAAGATCAGATTCTTTCACTCCGAGGGCGTAGTGAAATCTTGGTCCGGGGGTAAATGTAAGACCGGGTGTTGCACATATGTACTAAGTCTTAGAAGTGGTCAAGGGAATAAGGATGATTAGCCAAGGCATAGCTAAGACTAGCTAGTTATGACTAAACTAGTTAGTTATAACTAAGTTTATCTAGTCATGACTAAGTTTAGCTACAATGTCTATAGTTGGCGGAGTAATTAGCGGAGTTCTAGAAGAATGGAGTGAGCACTTCTATTTTGTCTTTTACAAGGAGTGAGCACTTCTATTTTGTCTTATACAAAAGTTCTAGATTCCAAGGGATTAGATATTTGACTAGAAGCTTGGATTTGATTGGTTTGACTAAATGTATGAAAGATGATTGGCTAGACTAAGTCTAATGTTGACTTAGTGGCTAGGAAGCTTGTAGAAGTTTAAAAGCTTCCAATGGCATGTCGCCACCTCAACCTTGGATTCCGGAAGCTTCTAGAAGGTTTAGGTAGGCCAATGGCATGTTGCCACGTAGAGAAGGTTAGTCAAACTTACCTAGGTAAAAGTAAGTTAGGAGAAATTACCACATGTTACTATGGTAACTTCTCAAGTAGTATAAATAGAGAGGTAGAGTAGCACCTCTCAAGCAAGTTTGGAGAGTCATGTGTGAGGACTTGTTTCAGTAATGAAGGAGTGAAGTTTTTGAGTATCTTGGAGTATCGACGTGTGTTTGCATTTATGTGAAGAGGGTGATGTGAGGAGAGTTGTGTGTGAGTTGGAGTGATACATGAGAGTTTGTAAGAGAAGGTGTTTGGGACATGAGTGAGAGTATGAATCTTAGTCTTCTAGAACCATGATGCGCTACCACAAAGCCATCAGAGGTAAACCTGAGTGAGAGTCAGCCCGGAGGTTGCAGACCGATCTCCGCTTGCCGTAGAGCTCTAGATTGACTTTGAGCATTGCGATTTGTGTTTTGTGAATTGTGATTTGTATCTACTTTGTGATATCATCAGCTACTGCTTGCTTCTGTGATCCAGATCCACTCGAACCTGTTGAACGATGTCTATCGATCCGGACGACGCGGCTCGATTTGGGGACGGTGTTGCCGACATCGTTATCGTCATTGACGAGTCAGACGACGATGACGACAAGTCTGTCCATCGCCACCAGGCTGAGGCGGACATGCCGGCAGTCAAGCGTCCCTGGCCGAACTCGCCTAAGTCGTCATGGATTCACAATCATACAAGCATCATCAATGATCGACGCTTCTGTGGCGTTGCTCCTTGCAAGTTGAGCTGGTCGACGAAAACGACAACGGGTGTCATCGCCAAGCACCTCGAGCTGCATCACCGTTTGTCTGCGCAATCCAAGGAGCGTGATGCCGACCAATCGAGCACTCAGACCGTTATGACGCAATTCGCGTCAATCAGCAAGTCGCGCTCGTGTCGCCTTGACAGCGCTGTTGTTGAATACGTTGTTGAATCGACATTGTCGCACACGCACACCGAGTTGAAACCGTTTAAGTCGCTCATGGAAGTGTCGGTGCCGGGCTACGTGACGACATCAAGTCGCATCACGAAACGATGCATTTTGAAAATGTATGTTGTGCTGAAGTATATGATGATCGCACTGTTCAAATCATTTGAAGCCAAGGTGTCCGCCACCTACGACGGGTGGTCAAACACGTTGTTGAAGGGGTTTTACTCCGTCACGGTGCATTGGGTCCATGTTGTGACTGGCGAACTTGTCGAAACCTTACTGGACTTCTTCTACATATTGCCGGGTGAAGGATGTGGTTTGCGTTGTGCCGAGGCCATATTCAATCTGCTCTGTGCCTTCGGCCTGGGCGATCGGATCCTCGTCACGGTCTCTGACAATGGTTCAGACGCATTTAACGCTGGATTGCATCTGTCGTCCATGCTTCGCACTTGTTTCGGCCGTGATGTGCTGCCTGATGATCATCATGTACGTTGCTTTACTCATTCATTCCAGCTCGGAATCAATGCTGCGATCAAGGTTATTCAGCCCTCAGTTGCTATGCTTCGCAAATCGATCGCTATGCTTCGCAGTGGCAAGGCCCGTCGTGCTGCGTTCCGCCGATTCGCTGTGGCAGCGTATGAGCGCACCATGGAGCCACCGTGCCTAGATGTTGTGACACAATGGGGCTCCACGAATAAGATGTTGGCATCGGCCTTGAAATGTCGACAGGCAATGACAATGACCGTTGGATTCGAGGAGATTGCCAAGGATTTTGTTGATGTTGGCATCGACCTGTCCGATGAAAAGATCTGGCCACAGTCGAAGTCGTTGGTCAAATGGCTCAAACTGCCAACCAAAATTTCTAGCTGCATGGACGGCGCGAAATACTACACGAGCAGTACCGCACAGATTGCTTCTGACGCAGCTGTTTATCATTGCAACCAGTCTCTATCAAGCGATGATCCAGTTGTCCGTGAATGCAGCGAGGTTTGCCTCGCTATCATGATGCCATATCAACAGCATTTCAACAGTCGACCTGCTTGCATCGCGCAATTCCTCGACCCTCGCATTCCGAAACCACTAGCTGAACGGGACGCGGCGCTGTGAACGATCAATTTCTTGATGGCGACGAATTATGTCGCGGCGGTCGACGCGGAAGCAGCACGAGCGGCATCGCGCGTCCGCCCCGGCGATCAATGGCACTTAGACAACGATTCGTCGGCTTTAACGGCCGTGGCAATGCTACTCCGGGCGCGTCGTCAACGCCAACGTGATGTTGGTGATGCTGCCGCCAAAGAGCCGCAAAACACAAACACAGAAGTTGCCCGCTTCTGCGAGTACCCGATGGTCCCCGATGACACCGACGTGTTCGGCTAGTGGCTTGCCCATCGAATCGACTTCCCTGTGCTGTTCGTCATTGCAATGGATTACCTAGGCGCGCCTGCCTTGTTAGTCCCGGCGGAGCGCCAACTCGCTGGCAAAGCGCATCTTCGACGACCGTGCAATGCTCCACGAAGCATCATTCAAGGCCGAGATTTGCTGCAGCTCCTGGTTGAAGCTGCTGCGCTCGCTGAATGTCGAATTGCCGACTGATTGGCATGCGGCATACAAGCAGCTGCGCGACAAGAAGGAGATCAACCTCAAGGAGGCTGCTGATGAGGATACGGTGATCAAGTATCTACTCAACGACGATCACGGACGCAAGTCTGATGGCGAAGCCGACGCTGACGACGAATAGCTGCTAGTCTCTCAACTTGAGAGACTAGCATCTATTGATCTATCAACTTGATAGATCGATACTATCCAACATTGTATGCGCATATGTCACCAACTGTTTAAAAGTCCTGCCCTGCAACTCTTAATGGCCAGAAATATGGGCATATCAACCATGGTTCTTTAGAATGAGCAAGAGTGCACCCTTGTCATAATAATCTATGGTCCAGGTCTACGATCGAATGGGAGATGGTCAAGAACAGCGGCCCTCATGGTCACGCTGAATCAAACGGTATTTGAAACTGAATACAATTTCGTAGAATAAATCAGTTCACAGGCGACTTAGTAGGTCGAGCACGTTCAAAGTATTGACCTGCTCGTCCTTCACACCCCATTGTGTACAAGGCTTTCCCTACCAGAGAATTCTCACATTCCGCATCCGATTGGGTGATTACAGTACTAGACAGAGCAGCCCTCCTTTCGTTGCTTTGCTTGGAGAGGCGATGATTAACAAATGGTCCTGGTCTTATGATCTTGAAAGCGATGCCGCGCCGCTGACATCCCGTTTCACGGATGTCAATTCAAAGAAGAGAAGACCACATGGATTAATGGTGCGATTGAGGTCTGAGATCTATGATTACCCATTATGTTATATACAAGAGTTGTTACGTTCACATAGAGAAATCATACAATGTTGATATGTCTTGTAATATACTGGTTCCTAGCGTATCTGTGCTTATTTTGGAACGATTATGAAAGTGTGGAAAACTTCAAATACATCAATACGTCAAGGTTTCATATCCTCTGCTCTTGAAGTTGTATGTAGTTTTGGATGGCAATTTCAACACATTCATGAGACAAAGAGAGAACTTATCAAACTAAGCCACACGGATATTGCTTTCTTTATCATATATTGTTTTGCCTATTTTAGAAAGTATCGACTGATTTCTAGATAGCATTTAGTTGCTGAAATCCAAAAAATGAGAATTCCATTTTGTGATGATTTTAGTATACTCGACTAGCATGTCGATAAAGTGGTCTTCTTGGGTGAGGAAGTACATATTTCGTATTGTGGTGCTATGAGGTTCTAGCCCCATTGGTTTCATTTTTACTAGACTGGGTGGGGTTTTATGATCCTTTTTACTTATTTCTGGGTTTTTTCCTGTAAGCAAGAAATATGAAACGTGGAGCATGATCAGCTGATGAATACGAGGTTCTTCAAATGCTTGATTTTTCCGAATTCGAATTTTTTATTACTAACTCAGTTCGTATCTAAAGACTCCATGTGTGGAAATATGCTAAAGCCATACAAGATGGAGAAGCCTTTCCGATTTGTGAGCTGCACATTGATATTAAACTAGAGGTTGTATCAACTGCAGCAATATATCATATGGTCATCAATGTTAGGTGAGTCTTTTCCTAAATCGAATTAACAGTGCATTTCCTTATTTTTCCCTTTTCTATCCTATCGTTAGCTAGTTTTATCGCAAGAGAATAATATTTCAGATGATAATTCCTCCATACTTTGTTTGTAGACACGTAAAATTAGATGATTTGGATATCTCATATGTATTATGAATCATGTTGCATTTTGCCACTGTAGCGGCTTGTTTCACGCCACCTGTTTGATTTCATTTGAGTACAGTACTCCTTTCCATTCTTTTCGCTATATTACTTTGTATTGCTTCATGGATTCTTCCCATCTTTCTACTACTACTTCCTTTTTACTTGGTATCCCTCCTGCATTTTCTATCTCTTATTGTATGTGTGCCGGATATTTTTGTGTTGAGTTGCGCTCTAGTACGAGGATGGAAAACACGTTCCTTCGCCTTCGGATTTGGCGTCCATTCTAATATGTTTCTAGTCCTGGCTTTGTTACGTTTCTCTTGGGTTTGCCATCGTTTCGTGTAATGCCATTCGTCGCCCTCTGCCTTCTAATACTCGAAATACTCGATTGGCAATGCAGCCGAGAACATGAATGTTGTAATTTCAGGACATCTCACGCCATGCCACACTGATGCTCTCCAGACTCGTCTCGGTCTAATGCAAGTCTTGAGTCTTTTTCTTGTAAACAGTTTCTTTATTAAATTCCCCACATGAGAAGACGGAAACATAAAACGAGCTATTCCTCGATTCCCTAATTAATAATACGATCTTTTCTACCCGCGCCATTACAAGTCGGAGGATCTCCATATTCTCGATCTTCAAACTTGTGGCACTGCAAAAAGGAACACATTGGAGAGCACGATACGTTTTTCAGTCAGCCATGGGGAAAAATGATTTCAACAGGTCCAGTTTGCAATTCAACTGACTGCACTCCTCTGAAAACAGCTGTGCGTTCATGCATTGGATGTTATCGTACCTGGATTTCAGTCCAGATGGTACATTTTTGAGTGACGTCAAAGCACAAACCACGACAGGGCTTCGTTATAACATAATCTTCATCGGTATAATTTCCAGAGCGGAGGTACATATCTCCGGCCTTCTGATCTGTCAAACCCCTTGCTTTCTTACTATGGGGTCCGAAATCGCATTTGGGAAAAGTTACCCCGCACAACTGCAGAGCGTCACGCAAAGAGTATGATGTCTGTCAAGATTTCAACAACAGAGACCTTCTTGGACGTGGTTGTGACCGTCTCTGCCCTCACAGTCTACACGTTTTCTTTCCTTCTCATAAACCCAATTGATCGATTAGCGTTCAGCAGGTACGAAAGATATGCAGCTAGATTGCTAGACCTGAACACAAGACTCTTGCTATCCCATGTTCTTAGCCCCACCGACTGATGATTGTTTCCCGTTTTCTTTCTGGACATAATAAATTCATGGATCGCCAGTCTTCTTATCACCGTCTACCGCACTTTAAGGTCTTTCGTTATTAATGGAAGAAGAGACCGGACGTAGTTGAAGATGTACGCGAGCATGCCAGAAGGCTTACCCAGAATCTGTATGCCTTCAAACAGTCAATGCAGGGGTGCGTCGTTACATAGCAGTTGGTCAAGTCTAGAAAAGACTGCAACCATCGAGCAAGATGTTCCAAGTTCGATCAGTCTACGAAAACCATATCAAAGAAAACGTGACGTGCCCCACACCACACCTCCCGGGCATGCGTCTTGACTTCCGAGATTCTTTAAGAGAATTCTCAAAGTTCTTCTCGCTCTTCAAAAGCCGAAAGGAATGAATTTAGTGCTCCGACATCCATAGCATCAGCAGTTAGGGCGGTTTATCTTCCCGGCTTCAATATGGTCCAGGACCACACGAACATCACGCCCCTTCCTTCCCTCATAACTTGTTGACTCGAACAGAACTTGAAGAGAAGAGGGCCGAAGAACCGCTCAACAAAACGAATGCAACAACATGTTCAATTCTAGGACAGTCTTGCCAGCTATTCTATTTGCTGATTGAAGCCTGCTTTAGACTCTCGGCTTACTGGATACAAGGAAACGAATTTTTCTTCGGCTTCAGTTTTAGAAGCTCTTGGTTCGAAGTCCATGATGGAGCGGTAGATTTATGTGGAAGTGAGAAATGAGAAGTATACCCCAAATCTCATCCACTCACAGTGAGCGTATTCATCTTCCTTCTGCCCTGCAACCATCCCTGTTGCTGCCTCAACTCTTGCTTTGAATTTGATCATGGTCTCTGGGGACAAAAAAAATATGGGACAGTGTGAAATTGTTATGATTGAACTCTCGTGCTCACCTTCAGCGTTCGTCATGAAAATGAGGAAATCCCGATCTCTGTACTGTGGGAACGAATTATGGCAAATTGGATCTGAGGAGGAGCGAGACATACCGTCACAAAACCAGGTATTAGTCGTAGCCCGCGACACCCTGCCTTCACTATCCTCTTTGAACAATGCCGGATCCGCGAACTTGGCCACAGAAGAGTTCTGTGCGCTCAGATACTGAAACCTCTTCTCTGCAACCCGAAAGAAGGCGGACTTGGAGTTAAGATGCCCAGCTTCCGGGGGGGGATGGGGATGGGGATGAGGACGATGAGGAGCAGAATCGTTACTGGGAGGACCTCCTGAAACTTGTGGACAGTTCATGAAGCAAAATGAAGGCTTTGGATTTACAGGAGCTGCATTGGCACGTATTGTGATACATTCGTGATGCAAGCAAAGTTCCTGCAGAAGCAATCCACAGATGCTGTGAAAGGCGAGAACTTCGCTCCCGAGAAGACCATAATGAAGCAGCCAATTCAAAGCACGTAAATTTTCTCGACGACTGATTGAGATCTCTAAGACTGTGGAGCACGTGCCCGGGAACAAATGCTCCAAGGACGCCGTCGAGGGACCTGAAATCGTCAGGTGAGTGAAAATTTCGTACAGAGTAGGATTCGAGAGTGGTTCTGTTCTCTTCATCCATGCTGAAGACTGGTTTGCAAGGTTTGGGCATCAAGTGAGCGCAAGTGGCGGGATAAAGCCTGGGTGCTTTGCCCTCCACACCTACACAACAACGCAAACCATGCCCGACTGCTGAATCCGCAACTTGTTGAGATCATCGGCCTCAGGACATGCAAGCAATGCGAATTTCTATCGATGGCGAAAGAGACGCGCAACTGTCCTGTCGAGAGAGCAAGAAGAAGCAACAAATGTCCGAACCGTACAAGCCACAGAGAACAGCAATGCGTGCAAAAGCGCGGCGATCGTCCGAGTCGCGTCCATCGCCTTCTCATTCGACGAGCTTGGTCCGATTTGTCTCCCGAGCGTAGCTGCAGGCAGATCCAGGGCTTCTCAAATCCCGTTCTTTCGCACCACGCTCGATTGCAACTACGGACGGGAACGGATCCGATAACTCTCACCAGATCCAATTCTGAAAGTCGCTAAAGTTGCCGGTGAGTTGACATCTTCGCGAAGCTTGCAATGTCCGTCGGACAGTCATTCCACCAGCCTCTGAGTGATCCGATCAGCTCGAGAGAAACATCGGAATTTCACAACTGCCGGAGATGGTGGTGCGGGCTTCTCTGTCATGGAGGAAGTGTCCTGACTCACGAGGTTGGCATCCTCCCCCGCCTTTGCATAGACTGCGGCGGACGTAGTCGCACCACCTCTATCCAAAGGAGCAGGAATTGCCTGCTTTCGGAGCTTCGTGATCTCGCACGCGTGTTCTACACGATCCAATCGGTGGAACGACGCGTGAAAGCAGCAGAAGTGAGGATAATTGTCTCCGCTCGGTTCGATGACATCCTATTTAAGTGCACTTAACTGCAGTTTGATGTAGAACAGAACCGACAGCCCCGCCAAGTGACGGAAGAGCCATCCCGGAAGGAATTCGTACATTTACACATGAAGATGATTTCGACCACAATCTCGGGCTAACCATCGCAGAGTATTCCCGAGAACACCGCGGAGAACTCTCTGTCCTCCCTGTTCCCTGTAACGAGCTGTACCTGATTACCCAAGAACCGCCTTCTGTTGGCATCTGAGACACATTAGAGTCATGCCTGAAAGATTCGCATTCACAAACAGCGAGAAAACATAAACGAACTGCGAATCCGTCAGTTACAGGCAGTTTTTCAACAGCACCAATCAAATCCTCCTAATCAGACTCCTATCATATACTGTAAACTTGTCTGCCTGCTTGAACTTCACATAATGAAAATACAGCTCTGTTCTATACAATCGACGAAAGGTAAGGAACGCGTCACGGTGGCATTACCCATTGAAAAAAATCTTGGCCTTGCAATGAAGGTCGAAGTGGGTCCTCACTCATTCAGGAATATGGTTCGACGATGATTAAATGATAATACGATCATCCCCTGACATTATGATTAGAACTTGACACTTCTCCGACACCCGTCTGATCTGTGTTCTTACGTTCCTTCTGTATACAACCCATTCTAAATATTTCCCCTTCTTTGATCACTGCGTTCATGAAAATACTGGAAAGAAGAAGAAACAAACGCACTCGGTGATTGTCCTGGAATTGACTGAAGTGGATCAGCATCAGAGCAGCTGATTAGAACAAGCCTCTTCTAATCATTCTTTTTGAAGGAATGATATGAGAAGGTGGAATTTGAGGAAACCTGGTGGGGCTGTTGAAATAAGTTGCGCTAGCAGCAATAAGTTTGAAACCTGTATGAAGAACCGTGAGAACAACCAAAAATTACGAAACTGACACGAAGAAAAGATAATAGATTAAAAACCAGGAACCAGCCACACCAGCACGGTGACAAGCACTCGCTCCACATCGAGCCACTGTTGAAGTACTCCAGTGGCCATGATGGCCAACTCCACCGCTCCGGCTCTATGTCAGAAGTCCAAAGTGTGAATAAAATGAGTTTTTAAGCACTCCAAGATACATGACCATCTATTGTAGCTAAAAACCTTCAAGGATTACTGTTGTTCAGTGCAATTCCGGATTTCCGCTTTGAAATAAATGCCAAGAAACCGTATAAACAGTGCTGTTCACACATCAAAAACTAGAAATTCGTCCGCACACAAGAAGAATTGGCTGATTTACAGTATTAGGTGGGTGATTATTTTGCTGTGTATGGCAGTTCGGTCATGAACTTCAGCTTGCTTGCACATTTACACGTACCTAAGCAGGAGCAGAGTAACCTTCGAGTCAATCTCCGGAACAAGGGAAACATGGATTAACAGCGGAATGCTCTAAGCTAAAATCACTCTACACATTCACCAGACTGCAAATTAGATGAACCACTTGAATCTTCTATCTTCTGATCCTGGAGAATGGCATGCCTTTACGCAAATTGATGCTTCTCGGCTGGATCAGCTAACTTGCAAATCACCAAAATCATGGGCCACAACAGACTTCAGCTACGGACGGGGTCTAACATAAGTTTAACCTAAATCTAAGCCTATGAATCAGTATTGGCGAAATATCTCCTGCTCCATGTATAAATTGTGCACTCTGTCGACGGTAACATATGTCCTGCCTGCAGTGAACCGGCCTACAAGAGATTGAAGATAAATCAGAAGAGCAGCCTATAAGTTGTATGTACGAAAGCTTACGATACATCATTCGTACTCGACTTCCACATTTGGCCTTGATTGTTTGTGACATTTGATGACAATCATGCACACCGTTATCTCAATGTAGGGATGCACAAGAATAGTCTTCTGATGTGCGCACTTTCGGAACTTGCATATGCAAAACCTGCGAGAGGCCAACATACGCAATGAGTGTGGGAGAAGAAAATGACTAGAGTCTTAGTATCCATAATCTTCAGTGATGGACTGGTTGAAGACTGAGTCCTTCACGGGCTCCGAAACTCTGGGGCTCGATCTTCAGAACGTGAAACCGTATTCGAAGCATAATCATGAAACTGATTCCTTCAATTTGAAAGAGAGAAGAAAGTAAGAAGTGTACAAGCAAGTCGAAGTGGCTAAACAATAACCTGTCTGTAATGTGCCACGGCCTTAAACGCTGCACTGGCAGTCGATGAAAGACTTCACTACTGAGCCTGTCGGACCCGGAACGTCTGTTCACAGTTGGGTATAGGGATGAATTTCCTCATCATATCATTTCCAGATATAGCCTGACAGCAAAACTTTCGGATGACAGCGTATATGACTTGCAAATCGAAATTGTCAAAAAATATCGGGTCTCTGAGAGCGATTGAGAGAGGAGACTCCAATCTTGTTCATTCGACAACATTGTTACCTTGGAGCTTGCTGATGTCTGGATCGGACATAAAGGATGACCTCCATCTGTTTGAAGGAGGACCTTCGGGATGAATAAGGCATTCAAGTATGTAAGTGTCTATGATGGATTTAATCACAACAACACACTAGCCATCAACCCATGAGGAGAGTCAGGCGCATTTGGCATATGGGGCCATTTCATAGACTATTTAACCCACGAATGCGTCACCAACCAGCATAAATTCAAAGTTCTTTCAAATTTTGTGTGGTTGAAGTCATCGTTACCCGAACTCCTGTAACCTTCCGAGGCGTCCAGAGATCATAAGACAATGCTGAGAATTGCACTGCTGGCAAGAAATTTTGACTGGAACAAATTCTGATATAATGATCCTCAACTTAGTTCACACAACTACGATTTGCTCAGAAGTCACGAAAATCTTCCGACTGGCCGAGTCTTATTGAGTGAGAGTAAGCTGAATATGAAACTATACCGGCTGTTTATTGATACAGTATAGTATATGACTGGCCTCTGTAGACTCTCGTATATTGATTATGCTGAAGTTGAAGAAAATATATTGCGCATTTAATCATTGTAGTGTCCTGTATTGCAGTGAGAGTCACAAAAATTTCCATGATAAATAATGTCTTTGTCTTCCAAATATGTGCACTTTCCACGTATGATGTTATCTCAAGCGATTTTGACATACAAAAGAAAATAAAAAATATTAAAGCTTTAAAGGACATGTACATAAGGTGGAAAGATACTTCGATAACATGTACATGCATGCCGAAGCATGTATTGAAGGACCTCATCATTTATTGAAATCGAAAGTATTCCTGTGATTCTACTACAAAAAGCAGCAAAAACAAGACGCAACGAACAGTGGCTAATTTGAGTAAGTGATTTACTTCTGGTAAGCATACTGGAAAGTCATCAAAATATACACTTGCAATAACTTATCAGCTGTTTTGGATTCAGATACACACCTATGTGCGAATATCTAGTGCACATTCGCTGAATACACTCAGCAATCATAATAATATTGAGAACTTACTGAGAAGAGTGTAGATTTGCTAACTGAGACATGAATAGTGTAGTCAAAGTCCATGTGCTTGACTTGTGTCAAACTTGAAGTACATTGAGAAACCCTGCTTTCAACAAAATAACGCCACAGCAGAAGTCAGAGCTAATTATAATTAATGCAGCTCTTGAAACAGAAACAGTCCGATTTACCATAGCAACGAAGTGTAAATGAAGAATTCCGATTTATTTGGCAAGCGCTGTTCGATGAAAAGACTAACCAGTTCATACCAGCCAGTGAGAAAACTCTTCGCGACAACTCATACTTCCAGCACCCTTGCTATACTGACTGCGCAACCCGTACATCACTTCACTAAGGTTTTGACTCAGCAATAGTCTCCAGTCCACCCATAAAATAAGTGTATCTCATCTTCTAGGATATATGCAGGCTCAGAAAAGGTTGTGCACTTTAAACTGACCACTGGTATAGCTTTCCAGCTCCTCATCCATCGCATACCCTTGCAACACGCTTATTAAATGGGAACAACGTACAGCTCTGGATTCACACAAGATGTATAAAAAACAAAAGCACTTATCGGACGGGACAAGCACATTCACATCCAAACTGGTCAAGGTGGTTTGAGAAAGACGTTGTTATGATATGATCAGATCAATAGTTGGGAACTAGTAACACCAACATCTGTCACTTCACGATCACTGGGTTGTATAAGTGGGAGAATGTTGGTCAAAGGAAAAACTGCAGTTTTTCTGCAAGGAGTCTCACATTTAAGCTTTTCGTCCTGCATTTCAGTGGACAACTGGAACATCCGATGTCTTACCGGCCGAACTTGCCGCAAGTAAAGAGCAACAATTCTCGAGCACATGTTGGGTTCACGAATGTAGAAGTTTCAGTCTTCAGTATTATCCTGTTAGTATATATCTCTCTCGAGGAAGATCAGACGAGTTAGGAGACATCAGACATTGCACTGAACTTTGGCTTCTCATCGAACAACCATACGGCTGTCTGCTTATTCCTTGCTGCCAAATCGGAAGAAAATTTTTGGCTGCCAGATTCCCAAAGTCCTCCAGGAAAATCGATACATCTCAGAATACCCTTCACGAGGAGAAAGATACTGTGCCTCTGCCCTTAGTCTGTTCCCTGGCCAAACTCTCAAAACCAGCGAACCTGCATGTGTGAACAAATCCGTATCCTCGCTACGTAATGAAAGCTCCACGTCCACGAGTATTGCTCTGGTGACGGTCGCGGACAGGTTCTATTTGGGCTTAAATATAGTGACCAGGGCATTGGAGTCCAAGATCCGTGTCAGAATCTACTCGCTTACCTGGAGAGTGGACGGGAAGGAAATGCTTCAGCTCCCTCATTCGGGTTATTACTTCTCCTACGACGCAACAACCCGCATCAACAACCACAAGCAATGTTTAAATCTTATAAGATTTTCCTACTTTATTTCGAAACCCTGTCTTCATCGACAATGCAAGGAACTACGCAACAAAGTTCTCAGAATTGAAATGTCCAGAATTTACTTCCACGCGTATGCCCGTCCGTCCGCTTCGGCCACCGAGTGCTTGCAACCTTTGCATGGCGCATGCAGAGCTTGTCAGGACTATCGCCAACAAGTATATCTACTATCGAAAACAATCCTCATTCCATGAACTACGTCACGGAGAACTACCTTTTCGGCTCTAGACGCAATTTCCAAGACTGGGTAGTCCGATGTAGCGTGGTCGGCGGCTTTGTAAGGGAAGTGGTATTACACGTGTCGGTATTGCTCTTTCCACTTTTGAAATATCTCAGCGTGCTCTACTTCGTCTCCTGCCTCGCACTAGCCGGCCGCCGATGCGATGTTGCATATCTGTTCCTCGAAGGGCGTTCCATATTTGAAATAATTAGGAAACAAAACAATACTTTTGTCATAGTAAGAAATATTTGCCAGAGGCTCCTCACTCCTCACTCTGTTAGTGCCACACAGGACGTCCCTTACAAAAATATGTTGGGTTCCGAATTTTTCATGCCTAAAAACATCACTAATTTCTCCGCGGGCTGTCCAAAGCTAGGTTTGCGTCAGATAATACTCACACAAGATCTCTTTGTTTTTATAAAAGGTAAAATAGTATCATCACAAACGTTTCAATGTTTTTAAACATATCCCTTTGAGTATGACCATAACTTTCTATAATTAGACACATAAAATTTCCCCATACAAGATTTAAAGCAAAACTTCAAATTCTACCAAGTTTTGTGCATGTCAATTTTTTCCCGTGGGTAAATACTAAATACACATGACATTCCATAATTTTGCATAATATATAGAGCTGGCTTTTTGAAATTTCATCGACTAATCTTATTCATCTTCTCTAGTAACCGATACATTGCAATTCTTATGTAGATTTACCACAAAAATTTATACCTAGACGTTGCAATTTTCTGTGATTGCTTTTACTGTACTAAATGATACTCATGGTATTTGATATACTGGACTTTTATTTGTATCATGCCTTATGTTACATCATTCTTAATTATTTATGTGTCCACACAGAAAAGATCACATATGTCACGAAAAATTTCTAAGTTTTGAGGCACAAGAAGAAAAATATCTCATACTTGCTGTTCCTTGAGATTTATAATATTCATAACCTAGTTAGATAACTTCAATTTTGTGTGCTAAATAATGTCACTATTATTATTTTATGATTATAGATATATTTGATACTTCAATTCCAATTTTAAATAACCCAACCCTTCAAACAATCTCATCTTTTTCCAAACGTAATCAATTAATTCAATTTTGAAACTCACACGAAGTAAATGTTTTAAGCATTTTTGTTGGAATATAAATAAGTCAAAAATCATGCAATACTCTTGTCGGCAAAAACGTAGACTTCACTTTTAACTTTGAATCAAAATGTTAAATTTTTTGTGACCTAATTTTTTTAACTATATAAAATTTGCAACAAATTATTTTTTTCATACTCCTTTCAAAAATTCTCTTTTCAATCCAACAGCAACAAATTTTCATTCATTGAAATTTTGTGAGAATGAAATCTGGTTTTTCCCACTTTATTTATGGTCATTCCAATTCAACTCTTGCCAATTGTCTTCGTCTATAGTAAAAACACATATATTTGATCTAATTGTCCAATTTTATTTTATCATCATCTCATGTTTTTTTAAATCATCATATATCTTCTCTTTGCAATCCCATTTTTTCTAACAACATTCAACAATTATCTTGCTAATAGCAAATTCAATGTTAAAACTAATGCAAATCTTAAAATTAGATTCTTCATTCATTTGCTATACATTTTCTTACACAGTTAACTTTTTCCATATCATCTATCTAGCTAAAAACTAATAAAAACTTAAAAGAATGAGTTCAAAAAAGATTGTAGTGATTTTAGTGTATATACACCCAAGAAATATCACGCTATACACCCAAGAAATACCACGCTACAGTGCGGACCCTCGTGCAAGCAGGAATCGATGTCGACTCATTCATCAGCCGAGGACGAATAAGGCGATGACGAACCGATTGCGCTGGCAAAATCCTCGATTCGCAAGAGGCCTTGTTTTCGCGGCACATACACCGGCACCTCGAAGAGTACCCGTCGACGTCGCCGCGCTCGTAAGACTGCTCAAAACCGTCAAGTCAATTAGAGCATCAAGTCTTTCTTCGCACATGTGGCATCTGTGGTCGATGTACAAGACATTGAGCAATCTTCCTGCCAAAGTTCCACAACGAGCTCAACCCGATCGAGTTCGCGTGAAGTGCCAGCAAGTTCACCTGTCGGCGTAAGTGCGACTACTCGTTCACTCACCTGAAGGAGCGGATACCACAGTCTGTCGATGAGATTCATATCGCCACAATCCGACGCTAGTTCCGACTCACCGACCGCTTTTGAATATAGCACGAATCGTTCACTGTGTCTCATGTTGGAGCAATTGCTGTGCACCCCTGCTGCGCAGTTGCTTGGGTGTATAGCGTGGCATTTCTTGGATGTGTGAGGTTTAAACTGCATGGGTGTGTGTAGGGTGTAAATACACTAAAATCAAAATCTTGTAAATTTTCATGTTGAGATTTAAAAGTATTGTGATCTCAGGAAAAATGTTCATTTAGATAAAATAAGTGTGATCTTAAATAAAATTTGATTGTACATCATGAATCTATTAAGTGTATGAAATATTTCATACACTTTTATAACTCAACATTAAAAGCTAATTTTAGGGTTTAGGGTTTTACAACCCTAAATAAATTTTGCGAACAAATAATTTCATCGATGAAGCAAATATTTACATAAAATTCTAATTTAAAACTTGCTAAAAAGTTGATTATGTATTATTATTATTTTAATTATTTCAATTTTAAACATAATTAAAATTATTAAATATATTGATATTACTTTGATTAAGTTTTACCTCTTTAGGTTTTATTAATCAATTTGAAAAAATTACATGGCAACATGTCATTATTATATATTAATCATGTGATGTTAAAAAAAAATATGTTTATTGTCAACTTTTCATGTATTTGTATTCATCATGAATCTAGAAGCTTGATATTTTCTTTACATTTTCATGGCTAAACATACTACCACATAATATTTACATTCATCATTCTATACAAACTTTGAAAAAAGCACAGTTGTTGAAAATATAAATTTTATATTGATGAAACAAATTTTCACTCAAAAACTTCTCCAAAACTGCGTTGAAGTTTTTTTCTTAATTGTATAACTTTAAAATTTACTATTATTATGAGGCATGCTCATTATGTAAATTAAATCAATAAATTGAATAAAATATTTGCCATTAACACTCTTACAAAAACATTACATTGTAACAAAAAATTGTAACTAGAATTTCAAGACGGTTCACAAGTCACAATTAGAGAAAGAACGCCAGTAAAAAATACATGATACGCCACACTCGAGGTAATTCACAAAAACACAAGAGTTTTAATGTCGAAAAACTTTGAGATAACCAGGTTAAACATCAAGAGTCAAGCTAAAGAAAATTATCCGAGACTTGAGTTAACTTTTCTTATTTAGATGTACATTTTGAATTTTTTACAATAACCCATTATTTGTGTAGATATATTGATGGGATGATATTTGAATGAACATGCATATTTTATGCCATGAATTTCAACAGAAATTTACTTTTTTTTAAAATTTTTTTTTTAACAAAAAAATACAGATTTATTTATTGCTTTTACAATGTACAAACTATTCTTATAGACGAGCATTTTGTATTTTAATGTAAGTACTTAATAAAAAATGTGATTGAACTGTTGGTGATTCAAAACGAGACGATGAAGTTCTAAAGTCAACATAAAAAAGTCGAGGAGAAAAGGCTAGTGAATAAAAAAAATGTGCCATTTAAAAGAAATTCTGAATATTTCGTTGATAGCATAGACCATAAACTAAAATGCCATGAGCATTCGAGGCCTGTGATGCATGCCAGTAATTTGTAAAATGTGTAGAATAAATCCTGTATACACCACGAACTCACTCATAATGAAAATCCCATCAATCATGCAAATGTGAACCAATTTTTGTTAATTGTTTTTTCACCATTCAAGCCCCGGATATAGTCCAAATTGTCTGAGCAATTGTGTGTGCTTGCCCTACGGCCCCTAGGTCGGTACGTTTGAAACCCTTTACTATTTACCACAGATTAAAACATATTTTCTTCATTCCTTAACTGTATTCTTTGACGGTGGAAAAAGTTCTGGACTTTGAATCTCAATATTGTTCAGGAACTGCTAAATTGAATAATGATAACCTTATAAAATCTGCTCCATGTCATCAGAGTAACTGTACACCGGCCAAGTCGATGACTGTATAATACGTCGAATTCATGCGTATACCCAAACTTTCTGCATTTGGAAGAATGGGAAATGTCCAAAAGTAAATGTACTGCAGGCTAGATCAACCCCGACCGTATGACTGTGGGCTGACGGCATACGGTCACCATCTTGACGGGCTTCGTGTGTCACCGTCGCGTCGATGGAGCTCACCGTCTCTCGTTAAAATTAGACACGCGGTCAGACGATGTGAAACATGTGTCGGCGACCTGTTTTCATCGCCCCGTGTTACAATTTAAGCAGGCGGCAGAGCAGGGCACGAGAGAGGGGAGGGAGTGTATGCCTGGGAGTGGAAGAGCGAGTGACGGTACAATTTGTAACAATCATAACAATTTATCAGGTGTCTTATTAAACTGCTGCCAGGAGTGATTAAATATGTGATTTAATAGCAGCCTGGTTGTTTGTAAATTATAGGTGCAAGGGAGTTTATTAAAAGAGGATCGATCTCGAGATTGCATAGAGTTACATAAGTTCTTACATTTGCCAACGCTGATCAGGTACGGGGAAAGTCTTCCTTAGTACATTTTGAGACATTTTGCCCTCTGAACCTCGGCAATTCATTGGAGTCGACGTGCCTGGCAAGGTGGTGCAGATTTGCATAAATGGCAGCACACCTGTTTCTGGTGTCAAGGTTGATGATGTGGTGGGGTTTGAACTGGTGAAAAGTCTATCATCTGAGTACCATGAACTCATCATGCTCTTTCTGTATTCAGTATCTTTCATTTTAGCTTCGAAATTTAACAAAATCATCCAGTCTGCCATGTACTCCCAAAAAGTCAAAACACGAAAGTGTGATGAAGATTCAAGAGAGGTTTTCTCTTTCCACTATGGCACTTCGAGAAAACCTCTTCTTCAGTACTGCCCACTTCAGTAAACCGCAGAAAGTCACCCATCACCACTTACTGCAGCAATTCATCCACACTGATTTGATTGTATACATGGGCAACTTACTGCAGCAATTCATCGACACTGATATGATTGTATACATGAGCACGGATCTGAGAAAGTGGATAATGGTAGACATACACGTCTTATGACACGGTCGGGACTATTGCGCTTTCCTGTAACCCTTACAGTTAGACGATCCCGAAAGCCACTGCAGGTAGAAGGAGTATTGTTCTGGCGAAGGATAGACCAGACGGACGAGAAAAACAACATGCAAGGTTCAGTTCTGGGAAGGGACGGGGAGAGAACGGAGAGCGAGGCTGACATCGAGCTTTAAGAAAGCCCTAGGAGAAAGAAGAAACCAAGCAAATTCGAAACCCAGCAAATTCTCTCAAAGCCGCGACGACAGTAAAAACCCTGGCCCCATACAAATGCAAATGCCCTGTCAATCGTAACTCATCAGCTTGAATGCACCACCTCCTAGTTAGCCTGATTGGCGATTGCGGATCCGCAATCGCCAATCCGAGAGTGCTTCACGGGTAACGGTGACAGTGAAACTCTCTGGGTCACGGCGACGGTGATACACAAACGGTGTACGTATGCCGTCAGCCAAGAGAGCATACGGTCGGGTTCATCTAGCCAAAATTAATGTAATGATATGTTGCTATTTGTTGCGGGTGTATAGATTGAATGGGTCCATGAGATCGTCGGACAGCCGCGTCGCTTGCTTGAAACTGAAGTCTTCTTCCCCGGGTCATGGGGTCCAGAAACGGCCGGGACCGTCGCCGCCCAGGGACTAGCCAGATGCCAAAAAATGTCATATGAAACATGTTCCTTATGTCACGAGATGAGGCAAGGAAAGGCGTAGGTAACCGAGTTAAAGGACCCAAATAGGATATTTCTGATGATTATTTGCTTGGTCTATTAATTCAGCAGCTGATAATAATATTCCGGAGAGCAGGGAGCGGATATAAGGCAAGAAAAGGGGATTACAGGCGGATATTCGAGCCACTTTGCTTTACGTGAGCCCTACTGCTGTCCACGGCGTGCACCAAATCCAGAGGATCAGCGGGACTTGCAGCAGAACCCTAAATCCGATCGGACGGTGAAGAGGCTCCGCGAAGGTCGGGCCGATCGCAGGCGTTGGCTGTTAGAACGCTCCGGCGTTAGCAAAGCAGGGCAACAGCGACGCTCCTGGTCTCTTCGTCGCAGCCAAGCAGAAGGGCTCCGCGAGCTCTCCTCTCTCTCCCAATTCCACAGCCTCCTGCGCAGGAAGGCTGAATTTCATCTAGCCTTCTCACAACTCGCCGTCTCGGCAGGATCTCGTCAGCTCGTCAAGATGGTATGTTTCTCCCTCGCCGCCTCGAGTGGGCTCGGTTGCTGATGGAATTTCGTCGATGCGATGTGGGAATGTCTGGGAGTTGCAAGTTCGATCGGCGGCACGTCGTGATTGCATCGAGCACAGATATCTAATGGACAGGGCTGCATGTGAACTGGATGCTTTTGATTTTCCTTGGGCGTTTAGATTGTGGATTCGTGGAAGGCGCTTGCTTTCACGCCGTTTTTTCTGAATAGGTTTTCTCTTTGGAATTGCAGGTGAAGTTTACAGCAGACGAGTTGCGAAGGATCATGGACAAGAAACATAATATTAGAAATATGTCCGTGATTGCTCATGTGGATCACGGTAAGACCTCTTTTTCGCTGTCCCTTGATGTTCATGTCTTCTGCATTACGGATTGGAGGAATTGTGACAAACAATTTCTAAGCACGAGGACTGACACGACATCGTCGTACCTTTTTCAGGAAAGTCGACTCTCACCGACTCCTTGGTGGCAGCTGCCGGTATCATTGCCCAGGCCGACGCAGGAGATGTGCGTCTTACTGACACCAGGGCCGATGAGGCAGAGCGTGGTATTACTATTAAGTCCACCGGAATTTCGTTGTACTACGAGATGTCTGACCTGTCTCTGAAGGACTTCACAGGTGAGAAAGATGGCTCTGACTATCTCATCAACTTGATCGATTCTCCCGGGCACGTCGACTTTTCTTCTGAGGTCACTGCCGCTCTGCGTATTACCGATGGAGCTCTTGTCGTCGTCGATTGTGTTGAGGGCGTGTGCGTGCAAACGGAGACTGTGCTCCGACAGGCTCTTGGAGAGAGGATTAGGCCCGTTTTGACTGTCAACAAGATGGACCGATGTTTCCTGGAGCTTCAGGTCGAGGGAGAGGAGGCCTACCAGACCTTCTCCCGTGTGATTGAGAACGCTAACGTTATTATGGCCACCTATGAAGACAAGCTTCTGGGAGATGTTCAAGTTTACCCAGAGAAGGGAACAGTTGCCTTCTCAGCTGGTCTCCATGGATGGGCTTTCACCCTAACCAACTTTGCTAAGATGTACGCGTCTAAGTTCGGAGTTGATGAGAAGAAAATGATGGAGAGACTTTGGGGAGAGAACTTCTTTGATCGCGCCACCAAGAAATGGACGACCAAGAACACCGGATCGCCCACCTGTTCTCGTGGATTCGTGCAGTTCGTGTACAACCCCATCAAGCAGATCATCAACATCTGTATGAACGACCAGAAGGATAAGTTGTGGCCGATGTTGGCCCAGTTGGGTTGCGGTCTTAAGGGAGAGGAGAAGGAATTGATGGGCAAGCACCTCATGAAGAGAGTTATGCAGACTTGGTTGCCCGCCAGTGCTGCTCTTTTGGAGATGATGATCTTCCACTTGCCCTCTCCCGCCACTGCCCAGAGATATCGTGTTGAGAACTTGTACGAGGGTCCCCTCGATGACATGTACGCCAACGCTATCAGGAACTGTGACCCAGAGGGTCCTCTCATGTTGTACGTTTCCAAGATGATTCCCGCATCCGACAAGGGTCGTTTCTTCGCCTTCGGTCGTGTGTTCGCCGGTAAGGTGTCTACTGGACTCAAGGTCAGAATCATGGGTCCGAACTACGTCCCTGGCCAGAAGAAGGATTTGTACACCAAGAGTGTTCAGAGGACTGTCATCTGGATGGGAAGGAGGCAGGAGTCTGTTGAGGACGTTCCTTGCGGTAACACCGTCGCCCTGGTGGGTCTTGATCAGTTCATCACCAAGAACGCTACTTTGACTAATGAGAAGGAAGTGGACGCCCACCCCATTCGTGCCATGAAGTTCTCCGTGTCACCTGTCGTGCGTGTTGCTGTTCAGTGTAAGGTGGCATCTGATCTCCCGAAGCTGGTTGAGGGATTGAAGCGTCTCGCCAAGTCTGACCCTATGGTTATCTGTACCATCGAGGAGTCAGGCGAGCACATCATCGCAGGAGCTGGTGAACTTCATCTTGAGATCTGTCTCAAGGATTTGCAGGATGACTTCATGGGCGGAGCTGAAATTGTTGTGTCTGACCCTGTTGTCTCATTTAGGGAAACTGTTCTTGAGAAGTCAAACCACACAGTCATGAGCAAGTCCCCCAACAAGCACAACCGACTGTACTTCGAGGCCAGGCCCCTCGAGGATGGTCTCGCCGAGGCTATTGATGACGGCCGCATTGGACCCAGAGACGACCCCAAGGTCAGGAGCAAGATCCTCGCTGAGGAGTTCGGCTGGGACAAGGACTTAGCTAAGAAGATCTGGTGTTTCGGTCCCGATACCACCGGACCCAACATGGTTGTGGATATGTGTAAGGGAGTGCAGTACTTGAATGAAATCAAGGACTCTGTTGTTGCTGCCTTCCAGTGGGCCACCAAGGAGGGAGTTCTCGGAGATGAGAACATGCGTGGTATTGCCTTTGAGGTGTGCGATGTTGTGTTGCATGCTGATGCTATCCACAGGGGTGGTGGTCAGATCATCCCCACCGCCAGACGTGCCATGTACGCTGCAATGCTCACTGCCAAGCCCAGACTTTTGGAACCCGTCTATTTGGTCGAGATCCAGGCTCCCGAGCAGGCTCTTGGAGGTATCTACGGAGTCTTGAATCAGAAGAGAGGTCACGTGTTCGAGGAGATCCAGAGGCCTGGAACCCCACTGTACAACATCAAGGCATACTTGCCTGTCATTGAATCTTTCGGATTCTCCAGCACCCTTCGTGCAGCCACCTCCGGGCAGGCTTTCCCCCAGGCCGTGTTCGACCATTGGGAAATGATGAGCTCTGACCCTACTGACAACAGTACCCAATCTGGTCAAATTGTCAGTGACATCAGGAAACGGAAGGGTCTCAAGGAGCAGATCACCGCCCTTTCTGAGTACGAGGACCGATTATAGGTTTTGGTAGTTCCCTTTTTTTTATTTTATTGTCATGCAAAGACGGTAGACAGTGTTCACGCGGATTCTACCCAGTGAATGGGAGGCGGAACGGATGATCAATAATCAAGTACATCTGTCATTCTGGTTTATCTGAATGTCGCAATGTCTCTCAGGCCAGGAACCTTTTACGGCCTGTACTAAAGATTATCCTCTCAATGCGGTGTAGGTTGCAATATATTGCATTGCAATCTGTTTGTCGGTGAGATGTAGATGAAAACCTAGAAGGGTTTAGATGTAGATGCCAGTTTTGTCATTGTTCACCAACCTTTAGATTGAGGTGAAGAACAAGTTCTCTATTTCAGGTTAACACGAGTGGATGAATTCAATCTAAGTTCGAAATTGTCCTGTGAGATCAATGCGTTGTTTAGACATGAATGTGAGACTTAACGAAATTTTTTTGATGAAATATACTTGATGAGAAGACCGCTTTGGTGCTCTGCCCGATATTGGAGTCGTGACAAATGTTAGGGTTGAAGTGGATGTGTATAGTAGTGGGACGGTTTGTCTGTCGTGGACCAATTCTGTTAGAAGTTTGTCATTCGTTTCGAAATCTCTGCATTGTGGCTATACTTGATCGGCTGTAAGTTGAAGGCAGGATTTGTGGATGGGGTGTGTTTCGGACGGGCTGTACTGGAGATAAGATGTGGGCGGTTTTGCCCTAAGTCGGGTGACGTCAGCTTGTTCTGAATTTTCACTGTCTTCTACATATTTTTGGAGGAAATTGTAACCAGTAGTATTCTATCTTTCACCAACAGAAGAAGTGGAGTTTACTGCCGTGAGCTTGTTACGGAAAACTGCTCCCTACAAGGGAAAATGATGTGAAAAAATAATATGGATTACAGGGAAGATGGGAAATAATTAGAATTAATGTGGAACAGTCAAAAGACGAACACACGCATGAGTCAAAATGAAATGGTATCGAAAGATTAAAATATATGCATCTATTATCATGTGACTGTGCCGCAAATGAAAAGTAGATCATGAGTAAAAGAATGAAGGGGGATAAATAGTAGAGGAAAGAAACTTGCTGTTAAATTGTTGTCCGGATGAAACAATTGCATTATGTATAATATAACTTATCGTCACGCTGAAACATTATGGTACACTTGTTGACTTGCAATGAATATTTGAAGTGGAGTGTACATATGTTTTTGTCATTCAGAAAAAAGAATGTACTTCTCTGTTGAATTTATGGAGGATGATAATACTTAGATAAATTTGCTGTGAAAGCTAAACAAGCTTTTACTTTGTTTTTTGAAAATAATCTTTTTATACCATACTTATATAATATAATAGCCATTAGATTTGAATTTGAACAATTTCAAAACTTGAAAACTTTCCAGTTTTACACATCAATATTTTTGTATAAATATATTTGAAATATGTCATGACAGATTTCAAGAATACCATACTAGAATTTAGATAAGTGAAAATATGATCGAAACGTGAGACAAATTTTTCATGACAAAATTGGGAAAACTAGTTTAGTTTCTTAATTTTATTTCGTAGGTAATGTATTAAAATTTTACTAAATTAATTGGTACTAAATCAAAGGTTTCAGTCAGCAGTGGTTGCTTCTAAGTTTGTAATGCAATGCTTGTTAAGAATGAATAATGGAAATTGAAAAACAAGCATCAAAAGTTGATTGTGGCTGCAGTTGATAATGGAGGTGTACGAAAGATATTACAAATCTCTAGATGTTTTTAATCAAAATATAAATGATTTAAACATCCACTGTCAACACATTTTTGAGTTCATCATTGTAAATGAGAGAGAAAATATAATGGTTTGCAAAATGGACACCCGCAAACAGGTTGTCGAAAGCTTCAAGTGAGTACCATCTAGCAAAACTCACTTTTGCTAGATGGTACTCAGGAGTGATGTGGAGAATCCGCTTGGCATCTCAAGTAAGGGTAGAGACCACTCATATGTTGTATTCAATCTCTTGAACTTGGGAATGCTCGAGCTCAATAATGGACGTCGACAAATACATATTGTTCTTGGATACTGCGCTAGCCACTAGACGTTTTGACCGCGGGGCTTGTGAACCCTCTACATACGGGGAATCTCTCCCGAGAGTTATATTCAGTAACCATCAGGGATTGTTAGTGATGGGGGCGGTTTCATTCACATGGAGCTTGAAGATCAAAATAATTGAAGATTCCATTCCTCAAGGAACACGCTGTCGTAACTTATCTAGTAGAAGTCAATCTCATGGGCGCGGTTGACAAAGCATGGTGACACTCCCTCAAGGAATTGGCCAAGCCCGGGGTCGTTAATTTCCACCGTAACTTAAACCAAAACTTTACTTACATCCATACTGACGGACAAAACACCACGGACAGAATTCTCACCTTCGCTCTTCATCGTTACAATGGGAGGGTTCTGTTTTATCAACGATGGTCATGCAGATTCAATCCTGGAAAGCCGCTAGGGGTAGTATGGCCTACATGGGTCACATTTCCAGATGTGACACTTGAATATCACAAGCTGGTCCGCAAGTGGAACAAGTATTGGCCCAGACATACAATGGAGTCTTCGATTCGCCACCAGGGTTCTATGTTGGTGTTGATATCCAGAAGGGATGGATGTCGAATGTAGTCGGCTACAATGCAGCGGTGGAAGCTCAACAATCGCGGTGCATTACGAGGCGTTTGAACTCAACTTCATTTTATGTGGACACCATCAACATCCCACTAGAGCATGCCGGAATTCACCCAACGGCATTCTTCAGTGAGGATTCGACCACAGAGTCAACATCAATAAGCAAGACGGCAATCATGCAGAACATACTCGCAACCTGAAGGGCAGCCAAATCATCATGATCCAACAGGTCGAGATCATGGTCCACATAATTATCGGGTCTTTTCTACCGAACATAACACGCACTGACGTTGACATATTAGATCTAGCTCTCGGCACCCTTTGCGCTATGATGCAACCCCCGACCAAGACGAGTTCATACAAGTGCAACGAAATGATCGTTGTCTCACACATTTTGACATCTGATCCAATCTTGGCATTCACAACTCGTCATTTGAGACTCAAAGAATACCACAATTCCTACGAGTCCACAACCACCATTAACTTAGGAGGCATTCAACAAGGCATTGATAATATCACTTTAGGCCTCAACTCCGCCTGTACTCCGTCGTGAATGCACCAGACCATCTGGATGAGATGTGTCACCACCGGTAAGTGCTCCAAACTCCTTTCCTATCGAGCATCCTACAACAAGGCATGAAGACGTCATCAAGACATGTACATACGTCATCAACTCACAAATTTGACACTTGTGGATAATATGACTTCTACTGCAATGAACATGGTTTCTGAAGTCAATTTACTTAACGAAGGTAGTAACAATCTGAGCCCCGAAGATTACATGATTTGTCACTGTCTCGGTTTCATTAGAACCATACCATCCCCATCATTGATTTAGGTTTCTTGGTATATTTGGAGAACATAGAGGTCGAGAGTGTTCGGACTTTAGGACAGTCACTCCGCACATCATCACACGGCCAATCGACTGCCCATGAAGAGATGCTTGCATCACAGGAGTATGGTCCTCCACTAGGCCAACATGGCCAGATCCAACCACGCCATCAACAACAGCTGACCCACTATTCAACATCTGACACTCTCATGGATGGCACTGGTGGTTCTCTTGGACCAATACTGTAACCATCTTTAGTTAGTTAGAACTAAAGTAGAGGTTACTCTAAATATTGATGTAGATACTTTAGTGTGCACTAGTCATAGCTGCCACGTCAGCGATCCGCGCACTTGGTAGGTACAGAGTGGATGTGTTAGTTGACAGTGCCATGTCAGCAATCCATGTGCTTGTAGGTAAGGATTGAGTGTGTTAGTTAGTGTGTTAGTTGGGTGCGTCACTTCAGCGATCCGTGTGCTTGTTAGGGTTATCCGCCACGTCATCCATCCACTAGGAGTGGGATGGATGGTGGGAATTAGATCTTATCGCCTTGTACTTGTTGGTGAGAGCTTTATAAGGAAGAGGAGAACCATTGTTGGTATCTCTCATATTTAGAGTTTACGTTTCTATTTTCGAGTGAGCTTCTTTCTAAACCCTAGTGTTACAATGGTATCGGAGCGACCTTGCTCTTTCCTTGAGTGTGGATTACCCCTAAGGGAATAGCAAGTGAGTGATGATGGAGTGTAGTCTTGAGAGTGTATAGAGGCTGGCAGAGTTCATTCATCTGCATGTAGAGAGAGGTGGAAGTGGGAAATTGTGATTTTGCAGATATGGACGGGATTAACAGGAATCCAGTACCGCACTTGCCAATTCTTAACCTATTCGATATTCACCTTCGTTGCATGGAGAAACATCATTTTCGGATGTACCTTGTAGCTTGTTGGGGTACAGATTTTATGACTAGAGTAATAGAGTCAAGAGTGCCACTGATTCTTCCAATAGTTACTTATGAAGAGACTTGGAATTGTACTATATACATTCTACACTTAAGGTTTTCATGGATTTGAATCGCGAACCACCTGTCCCGGTTCGATTCAGCACTTATGTAGAGATTAGAACAGTATACAGACAAAAGAGGATATGGAGAGATTTTCTTGTGAGGAATTATGGAGAGTAGTTTTATAGAGCTGTGATAGAATCACCTGCACCTTTTGTGACTCCTTTGTTGAGAGGTCACATTGTGATTATACTCACTTTGTATTAGAGGGAGTGTGAGAAAGCATGGGGACATCAATTGATATGGGTGAAGTTCTCAATGCCATCATGGCGGAGATGAAGGAGTTGGGAAAAGCGATAGTAGATGGACATACCAAGTAGCAAGCCATGGAAGATAAAATCTTTGCATTGGAGAGTGAGAAAGTAGAGAGAGAGAGAGAGAGTTGGAGAGATGGAAGTTGAAACTCAAGTTCAAGCTTCCCAAGTTCAGCCAGAACCAACTCCTATTTATGCAGCAGAAGCAAATAGGAGGCGTCTTCAAGAGATTGAAGATCAAATAAATCTTTTGCTTCGAATGGGAAAATCCTGTAAGGTGGAAGCTTACAAAGGGAGTAGAGCAATGGGAGTGTTAGAGGGATGGATTATGAGGATGAATATTCATTTATTCCATTTTTATGTTTATGATTATATTGCAAGAATGTTCATGAGATCTTATCTTACGGATAAGGCTCTCACATGGTACACAACATGGGAGAGAATGCTTTCAGAACGAGGTGCTACCATTTCGTGGAGTGGAATGCAAGAAGTACTTCTGCAAAATTTTCAAGCGGTGGATTTTCTTCAAACTGCAAGAATGAATTTGTGGGATCTGAAGCAGAAAGGAGGTATTCATGAGTACATTGAAGAATTTTGTGATCTTCAAGTATCTATCATGGATATGAGCGGAGCTGAAGCCTTTGACGTGTTCAAACGAGGCTTGAAGGATCGAAT